ATAACAATAGAACAACATTTTTGTGAATCCCACACGGCATGAAAATCGAGTTACAAAACGTGATTTGAGCCGCACAAATTTTTGAGGCCTCATCCAGGCCGTGAACTGCCTGGGACGATTGTCTCTGACAACCGTCCAGGCCCATCGTCCTTGACGAATTTAGGGTGACACCATCTGCTGCGGAATCTTCCTGGGAGGAATCTACCAACAAATTTCTTGTTTTCAGTGCTAAGGCAAATTTTACAAAAACTAATTATTCAAAATTAGTAAAAGTCATCTTTTCTAAATCATTAGATTAAATATCGTTTATATCATCATTTTGATCACGCCACATGGGCTGCGTTTACCCACACGCTAAGGGTGAAAATGCATGGTTGTCATTTCGTAGACTCACACACACACACTATAAATTTACTGTTAAAAGTGGAGTGAATAATATATCTTGACTTTCAAGTTTTTATCTTTTAATTGCTGTTTAGCTTGTATAATAACTTCCTTGAAGCTGAAAATTGATGCTAATGCTTTTGGCAATTATGGTTCTAGCAATGCTGACTGATTCTAGGATGAAATGTCCAATAATATAGTGTGCATTATGATGTGGTCATTTAGAGGACGAGTTTACATCTACAAAGATTGGAATTTGATGGCCAATGGATTTAGGAGCCACTAGTGTTTAATTGTTGAAATATATTCAATTTGCTCCTCTTCGGTCACCAAAAATTTGCTCCTCTTCTGCTGCATTACCTTTTATTTCTCTGTAGTTTGATGATTTATCACGTAAGACCCCCCGTAAGATCTAAAAAACCTATATAATCCCTTGATAGTTTGGGTTAAAGTACCACTATTAGTTTTTTTCATTAAAACTAAAGGTTAATAGTAAAAAGTTAAAGTCAAACTAAAAAATTGACTAATTTATCCTTTCACTATTTTTTATTCTTTATTCCTTTTCTTTCTCTCTATTTTTTTTTTTGGGAAGAGAAGAAATTATTTTGAAAACCTATACTTTGGCCTACAAAATCTTAATTTTCTCCAAAGGCAAAAGAGATGGAAGGAAAATAAAAAAAAAATAAGTAAACAAGAAACAAAAAAGATGGAAGGGAAATATGAAACGAATTAATAAGAAACAAGAAATACCAAATTTTTTTACTACAAATATCATTATAGTTTTTAAACCAAATCTTTAATGGTATTTTCTAGTTTTTATTTATCTATTTTTTAATTTCAAATTCTTCTTTTTTTTATATTTGTGGGAAAAAAAAGAAGTAATGAAAGGGTTAATTTTTCAAATCATTAGTTTGATTTTGACATTTTAGTATTGACCATTAGTTTTAATGGAAAAACTAATGGTGATACTTTAACCCAAACTAATGGTGACACTAATATTGTCACAAATAAATTATTTGGAACTTGATGAAAAAATTCTGTGATGCTAAAAATTTCAACACCGTCAAAGAGTAACAGGTCAATCCAATGTGTCATTCTGAATTAAGCAATTGCAACTTGATTTTATAGGTAGTAAACTTTCAAATTCTTTGAAAATTCAAAAGAAGATGATGAAAAGCATATCTATCGAAAAAACTTCACATACGGTTCCTACAATTCAATCTAAGTACTTTTGGAGGGTGACATAAACATCATTACTAGTGGGAATATATGTGCTCCATAAACATGATTCTAATAAACATTGCAATCAAATCCTATGCTCATTAAAATAGAAACACTTGAGCTAGCCAAAAAGCCTCATCCTTCAGTTCCTCATTCCTATTATCTATAGGAAATTCCACAATTAAGTGACTATATGTGACATTTAACAAAATTAACTTTCTTTAATATCATACCAAAAAACACATAAAAATCTTAATAAGTACACACTTATAGTGAGTTAAAAACATTAGTCCCAGTATGACTCTAGAGATGCATTTATGTGTATTACTTTTTTTATTTGAAACAAGACATTCATAACTAATCAAACATGTTAGCCAATAAGTAAACATAGTAAAAAAATGATGAATTGTTGTAGTTTTCCTTTCAAATTTCTGTTTTTTGAAATGTAGATCCAATTACTTTCTTGCCACTGTTGGAGGATTGAAGGTCATCCGCCCACAGTTTCAGCTTCTCCCAATTATGAACCTTATATATTCACTACTTTCTACTTAGAAAAAAAAAATAGAGATCATCCTAGTTTTAGTTGTTGGATTCTCTTATGCTGTCACATAGTAATATGTGAGAATGATGAGTAAGTGTTAAGAAATCTAGTTGGAAAAAAGACTATATACAGACAAACCAGGTCCAGTGCACAACCAAAGACTATATATACGTTGCATCATAATCATTGCTATATTTGCTTTCCTGAAACACGCAACAGAAGAGTTATTAATTTTCCTTAATAAGAAGTTTATGCAAATACCACCTAATTTTCCTTTCGGTTTTACTGATCGTACATCCAAATAAAATTTTTTATACAAGCATTAGCTATATCATAGCTCCAGCATTATTCCTTTCCTGATGCACAAAACTCTTCTAAACTTCTCTACCACGGGCGAAGTACCCCGATGCTTTCTTTTGTGCCCCACTGCCAAAGCCTGGCTCAGAATGTGCAAAGTATCAGATCCAAATATTAGAAGATTTGCAGTTATGTGTGTACCTCTCAGTGTCAAGTTTTGAAATATGAAATTCATTCCAAGTAACACTCTCAATATAAATTCACCTTTGCTTTGACACTTGCATTTCTATACTTTTTCACGAGAGATTGAAGTAAAATTTACATCAAATTTATGGCTGCAAACAACAAAATTTGGAATTTTGGATAGAGGATAGGAAAGATACATACACAGAGAAGCTCAAACATTTGTTATTTCTAGGTCCAGAAGTTGTCCAATTGTAACCACTGGGAATATGTTGACTTGAGATGGTATTTCTTTCAGCAGCTGGACGCACACTTGTTTCATTGTCGGCCTCAATTGAGGATTGGGTTCTATACATGACAATGCCAGCTTTGCCACCAAGGTCACTTGTTTTGACTCTTGCTTACTCGGAGATAATAGTCGAGGATCCACAATATCTCTCAGCAGTACACCATATACTGCTGAAGTAGATGATGATGCCGACAATGTTGACAATATGAAATCACCTGGATGCTTGCCCATGATCACTTCTAAAGCTAATACTCCGAAACTATAAACATCACATTTTTCATTTACTTCCATGGTATAAGCAAGTTCTGCAATTCACAAAAAAAAAGGTCACTTCAGACAATGGTGCAGATGAATCCCTTTAGAATATTGAATCATAGTCCAAAAGCATAAATGCTTTGCTCATGCTAGCATTATGTAATTATTGATTAGTTGAAATAGAGAGAATTGGATTTGTTTGAGCAAAGAAGAGCATACCTGGAGCAGCATATCCATGAGTTCCAGCAAATGAAGTCCAATGAGATGAATCAGGCCTCAAGATTCTTGCAGTACCAAAATCAGAAATATGGGCTTGATACTCAGAGTCTAACAAAATATTTTTGCTAGATATATCTCGATGAATTATGGAAGGCGAACAATTCTGGTGCATGTAAGATAATGCATTTGCCACATCTTTAACAATACTTACCCTCTTGATCCATTCGAACTTGGTTGCTGTTTCATCATTTGTCAACAGGTGCATCAAGCTTCCCCCTTCCAAGAATTCATAAACCAAGAAAGTGTGTTGTACATGTGAACAGAATCCATACAGCTTCACGATGTTGCGATGCCTTATATTTGTTAGTGCACGGATCTCATTGGCGAAATCTTTTGGTCTCCTCAAGGCACCATCATCCATTCCATGAAGTTTCTTGACAGCAACCACTTGACCATTTGGCAACTCTGCTCTAAATACACTTCCAAATCCTCCGGCTCCGATGCAATACTTAGGGTCAAAATTCTCTATTGCATCAATGATGTTCTCATAGACCATTTTCCCATCAAAGCTCCAGACAGTGAACATATTTCTAGTAAATTCCTGAGGCTTACTCTCCACGCTTCTCTTACGTGACCTTGCAAGAATGAAGATGCCTACAACCACGACCAAAAGAAACGTGGTTGCTAGTATTGGAGCAACAACCACAAAGATCATTCTTTTAGTTGTCCTTCTACTAGTGTTCCTTTGAGTTGATTGAGAGCAAGGTTTCAATCCGGTAACACTGCCACATAAACCTTTATTGTTTCTCAGGGAATCAAATGGAGCTTTTTGAAATGCACTAATGTTGGGAAGAGGACCTTCCAATTGATTGTAGGATATATCAATGGAAATCAAACTGAAGCAATGATCAAAGCTTTTTGGGATGAAACCTGATATCCTATTATGCGAAAGATTCATTGTCTCAATGCTTTTCATCTCACCTAGCTCTGGTGGCAATTTGGATTCCAGCATGTTTTGGCTGAGATCCAGAGTTGCAAGTGAGGGAAGATTGCCTATTTGAGAAGGAATACTATCGATGAGTGCATTTTGGCTCAAGTTTAAATCCAGCAATTGTGTGCAATTGCCTATTTGTTCTGGAATTGAGCCACTAAGATTATTGGCCGACAAACTAAGATTTAAAAGTCTAGACATCTGACCAATTTCTGATGGTATATTGCCTGACAGGTCGTTGCTATCCAGGTTAAGCTCAAGCAACAAAGTCAACTTCCCCAAACTTCTAGGGATCTTTCCATGCAAGTGATTTGAAGAGAGATGAAGTTTTTGCAGACGAGATACCTCTCCAAGCCCAGCTGGTATTCTGCCGGAAAGATTATTGTTCGAGATCCTCAACTCTGTCAAGGTCAGATAGCCGCTCCAATTCCAAGGCAACTGACCATAAAATTTGTTATTGTTTAATTTAATATAATCTGCATATGGATAGAGGCCAAATTCTTCAGAGATATTTCCTGACAGTTGGTTGTAAGCAACATTGATAACTTGTAAACTAGAACAGTTTTTCAAGCTCCTTGGCATGGCACCCACAAAGTTATTTTCAGATACTATGAATCTTGTCAGAGATCTGCCAATGCAAATATTTTGGGGTAAATGACCAGTAAGATAGTTTTGAGACAGCATTAGCACATTTAAATGTGTAAGATTGTTGAATCCATCTGGAAGAACACCACTTAGCTGGGTTTGGAAAATACTAACATAAGCTAGTAACTTCAATGTTCCCAATTCGGGAGGGATAGTTCCGTATAAGTTGTTTAGAGAAAGTTCAAAGTGAATGAGATTGGTCAAATTTCCAATGGAGGAAGGAATATGCCCGGTAAGCTTGTTTTCAAAAATGTTTATAGAAGTTAACATCTTCAAATTACCAATTGACTTGGGAATCTCACCGGTGAGATTGTTATAAGAAAGTACAACATCTTCAAGTGATAAAAGGTTCCCAATTTCTTCCGGGATGGGGCCGGAAAGAAAATTACCGTAAAGAGACAGGAAAGTCAGGTTACCTAAGTTTCCAATAGACTGCGGGATGGAACCCATAAGCAAATTCGCCCCAAGAGAGCATTGAACAAGAAACCTGAGTTTCCCAATCTCTTCTGGAATGGGACCTGATAGCTGGTTCCCACGAAGATTTAATTCATTTAGTTTAGTCAAGTTTCCAATTTCTTTGGGAATAGGTCCAGAAAGATAATTTCGGAAAAGATACAGCAGGGTCAGGTCACTTAAGTTTCCTATAGACAGGGGAATTGGACCTGTGAGGGTGTTGTCAGATAAAGAGAGTTGAGTAAGAGATCTCAGTTTCCCAATCTCTTCCGGAATGAATCCTGAAAATTTGTTGGTTCCTAGGGCCATCACAGAAAGGTCGGTCAGATTGCCAATAGAAGTAGGGATTGATCCAGTGAACTCATTTCCTTGCAAAATGAGATGAACAAGAGACTTTAGAGACATAACTTCTTTTGGGATGGACCCATTGAATGAGTTATTGTAAAGGTACAAGAACCTAAGATTGGTTAGTTGGCCGATTTCAATAGGAATTGCACCAGACAATTGATTTAACCAGAAGGAAAGATAGGTTAGTCTAGAAAGGTTCCCAATGTTGGATGGTATGGTCCCATGGAGTGCATTTTGAGAAAGCTCAATTGTAGTTAGATGGGGCAGAGACGAGAAATTGAGATGGTCAAGTGTACCTTTGATGCCAGAACTAGTGATATTAATCACCGATACTCGTCCAGCTTTGTTACATCGAACTCCATACCAGGTACTGCAAGGATTTGCAGAAGATGACCAGGATGACAACTTAGATTGGCTATAATTGTCAAGACTGGCTTTCCATGTTAAAAGAGCTTTCCCTTCACTTCCAGCAGTTGATGCTGCATGCATTTGATCAGAAGCAGCATTGACTCCACAACTGGAGAGCAAGTGAAGAATGGCCAAGCATGAAACTAAACTAATTGGACAGATGGAATATTTCAGGATTGACATATCTGCTGGATATACGTCACAATGAAATTCTTAAGGAAAAACTTTTGCTGTAAAGCCGATGGCCATCGTGGCGCTTGTGCTGCTATTTATAGAGATAACAAGTCCAATTGGAGATGAATTAAGTCGTCTGTCTCTCGTTATCATGTTCTCACCTATCATGCAAAAGTCCGGGTTTCATAATTTACTTGACATAGACGCAGAACCCATATAAACATGTTTGCATTTATGTTTCCCTACATTTGGCTTGGACTTTCTTTCCCTGCATATGATGTTTACATAATAAGCTTTATTTCCGAGGTCTTTCCCCCAACACCTACGGCAATCTAGTTGAGTCTTTAACTAATAACATAACGTCAAGTCTAGGGTTGAATTAATGTTAGTTAGCAAAGTCTTCCTTGGTCCCCAACATTTGGATAGTGATAATTTTATAAATCTCTCCTGAGATTTCTAACAACGTCACTGAGTTTTCTTGAATTTTTAAAAGTTTCACTTACCTCCCCTGTAAGCAATATGAGACCCTATAATGGACATACTAGTAGCTAGTTCACAATTCTAGCCTCATTTATTATTGCTATTGTCCAAATATTTTGACAAGTTACTGTTGGTCATTATTTCTACAATCCAAAAATAGAAAAAACTAACATCAATATCAATAAACAGGGGCCGTCAGAAATTTAGTTCCACCTTAGGTGCAGGTTATTATGAAAAAATGAAAAAAAAAAAAGAAGATAAATTTAGCATCATTGGTACCAAAGATGCCATACAAATTTGACGCCAATTGAACCGTAAATTCTAACAGCGCCATGTCTAAAACAAAGATCATACATTACACTCTAACCATGATATATTTAATTTTTTTAATCTTGGGGATATATGTCTTTTTTTACTGTAGATATTTGCTTGGACACCCTGAAATAAAATTCGTTTTGTAGCTTGACAAAGCGCAAAGTAATATTTTTATAGAATAATTAATATTTTGGCACCAATATCTTGAAAGTATTTTTATTACTAATTATCTTTGTTTTCCAACCATTTATTTCTGTATAAAACTTATAGTATATTAACAGGTAGGATTATGGAAGGGCACTGTGGCATGAAAAATTTTTTTCCTCCTAAAAGTAGTATTTTAGTATTACTTTTCATAAGATGGGTTGAAATGTTATAAAAAGGTTGGAATTAGGGACGGTAGGTGAGATATTTGAAAGTTTAGGGGAGCTTAATAATATTGTTAGAAACCACGGATTGAAATATGGTTGATTTTGTTTATAATTTATTTTAGTCAATAAAACCTTGTTTGATTCTCAACTTTATGGTATTTTTCAAGCTTGTTCAAATATGGCTGGTTTTGTTTCAGTATTTAGTTTAGTCACTTTATTATTTTTTCCCTTTTGTGCTCCTTTCCTTTTCTTCTTTAATCGTTTGACATTCTCTTCCTATGCAAAATTAATTTAAAAAAAAACCACCATATCTTTTTTCTTAATTAAAAGGTAAACAATTTTGAAGGTAAATTTAAAAGACAAACTAATTACAGAGATTGTAGATGGATTACAATGTAGGAAAAGCAATCAAAAAAAATGGGTAAGCATATATAACATGAGCATCAAGATTCCAAAAAACTTTGATGTCCTCAAACATAATGAGAAACATTAGCAGGAAATGGAAATATTGGAAGGCAACAAAGTTAAAGATATCTACAGAAGCTCAACGATTGGAATTCTACTTCCATTAATATGTTTGGTTGAAAAAAAGCGATGGAGTTACTCCATTCTTAATCAACCATTAAAAGAAGTTGAACAACTAAGATAATTATGATTTTGTAGCATGAAGAAGAAATACCAATTCTGGAAACTTCAAATAAAACTACAAAAAACAGCTCGTGCAATCTGCTGCTCCCTGCACAACTAAAATTTGAAGTATTTCTGTCAACAAAATGAAAATTTCAATTATGTGCTTTTAAAATTGATTTCGCTCCTCTTATTTTTAATGGAAAGTGTAAACTTCTCTAAAAAAATATACTACATCAACGGAAACTTTTTCCATGTCCTACAACATTGCTAACACCAACAAAATAACATTGAAGTATTGCTTTATTTCTCAGGTCTTTAGTCATTGCCCCTACCCCTACGGCAAGCTACATTAGTCTTTTGAACTCTCAACATAAAGTCAAGTCTGGAATCTTTACGTACTTTACATGCGTGCACAAGTCAATTAAGTCCATTCACATTGTTTGGATTGTAATTTTTTATCAAAAAATTTTTTATGTTTTCTGTGAATATATTTTTCAATTATTTTTTTATCTCATATACATCAATTCGTTATCGTACATTTTCGTAGAAAAAATCCTAAAAATAGCAATTCAAACAGATCTTCCACAGTTTTTGAGATTTTTCAAATATGGTTGATTCTGTCGTAGAATTTATTTACCTCTTGAGTTAAGTTTTGAGATGAGAGAGACCAATAACACCTAATTCTGGAACAAATTGAAAAATTATTCTGTTCAAACCAATTCGTGCAATTATTAGCACATTTAGTGTAAATTTTTATAGTTTTGGTGTATAAATTTTAAAAAATTTAGTTATATGGGTTGATAAATTCAAGATTACATCTGATTTGTATTTTTTTCACAAAACGGTTGAAGAATTAAATATATTAGTTTGAACTGGATAACTTCTAACTTGTGAGGGCTACGATCCTGGTATTAGACCTCGGTTAAAACAATTTTGCCTAACAAATATCTGATGAACGATACATAATCAGATCCAACTTACGCTCAATGTATGAGGTAAGAAGAGGAGATTATTAACTTTATCCCACGTCAATAGTGGAATGAGCAGGTGTTAGTTTATATAAGTGTGTGGGAAAAGCCTTAGACCTTGAACTTAGCATTCCGATGATTGAGGCCACTGACACCTAACAAATTTTTGTCACTTTATTATTTTTTCCCTCTCTTTTCTCAATTCTTTTCTTCTTCTGGTAGGATATCATAATTTCTTTATCATTCTCTTCCCATGCATTCAAAATCCAGGTTTTTAGATGCCGTCCTCCTCCTCGCACCGAAAACCGTATCTCCATTCTTTACGCTAAACATGAATTTCTAGATAAGTGACTAATCTTGGAAATGTGGGGAAAGATAGACTGATTATAGAAATTATAGATGAATTACCAACATTTTCCCCGAGTCCTACAACATTGCTAAACCAACAAAATAACATTGGAGTATTGCTTTATTTCTCAGGTCTGTAGTCTTTACACCTACTCCTACGGTAATCTATATCGGTCTTTTTAACTCTTAACATAAAGTCAAGTCTGGAATCTTTACATACTTTCTCAATTTAGTCTTTACCCCTGCTCCTATAGCGATCTATATCATTTAACTCTCAACATAATGTCAAGTCTGGAATCTTTACGTACTTTATACGCATGCTCAAGTCTACTAAGTCCATTCAAAGTCTTAATTTTCCACAGTTTTTGAGTTTATTCAAATATGGTTGATTTGTTGTAGAATTTATTTATCACTTGAGTTAACTTTTGAGATTAGAGAGCCCACTAACACCTAATGCTGGGGCATAAATTGCAAATTTGTTCAGTTCAAACCAATTCATGTAATTATTAGCATATTTGGTGCAAATTCTTATAATTTTGGTGTATCTTAAATTTTACAAAAAATTTGGTTATATGCGTTCACAATTCAAGTTTAAATCTGATTCATATGATTTTCACAAAAAGGTGTAAGGATTATATCAACCAGTTTGAACTAAATAACTCCCAACTTGTGAGGCCTGTGTTCATGGTGTCAGACCCCAGTTATAACAATTCTGCCTAATAAATATCTGATGAAAGATTCATAATCAGATCCAACCTCCGGCTCGATGTATGAGGCGTGAGAAGGAGATTGTTAACTTTACATCGATACTTCAATGAGCATGTCTTAGTTTATATAAGTGTAAGGGAAAGGCTTAGCTCTTGAACTTAGAATTTGGATGATAGAGCTCAATAACACCTAACAATTTTTTTTGTCACTTTATTAAGTTTTTCCCTTTGGTTCTCAATTCTTTTCTTCTTCTTGTAGGACACTAATTTCTTTAACATTCTCTTCCCATGCATGCAAAAGTCAGGTTGCCCCCCTCCTCCTCCCACCGAAATTCACATCTCCTTTCTTTAACCTAAACATGTACTTCCAGATAAATGAATGATCTTGGAAATGTCGGGAAAGATAGACTAATTATAGAGATTGCTGATGAATTACAAATTAGGCAAAACAATTAAAAATAGGTAAGCAGAAAACATTAGCTGTAGGAAAGTTATACCAAGTTAGAGTTGATTGGTTAGTTTTGTTTATTGGCCACATGGCATTAGTTCATAAGTCAATAGTATTAGTTGCATTATTGTGTTGTAGAAGAAGTCACATGGGATTATTCCCATTAATTATTAGTACTAATAGTCCGCTGAGAATATAAAAGCTGCATAGGGATATATTGCCTCTGTCCGATTGTCGTTGTCTTTGTAAGAAGCCGTAGCCTCGGTTGATTAATAATTCACAAGTGTCGCGCTTGTGTAATAATCAAATTCCTACTCACAAAAATATAAACGAGTATAATGGCAAGCAAGGTCGTCTCCACAGGAATTAGAAGGAACATTCACTTCTTTTCAAGCAAATTCAATTAAGGGGGTTTTGGGAGATTTAAAATTAAAATAAAGCAATTAATGAAAATAAAACTAATTAAGCAAGAGTAAATTAAATTAAACTAAGGATTAACAAGCTCTAACCAAGGAATTAACTCCGAAAGCGGTTCATATAATAGATCATCGATGCAAGAATTATCTCAATTATTCGCTAATAAACAGGTTATAGTTGTCATACATGCGATAAACAACTAGCTTTTCCTTAATGTCTCGATAGTTAAGGTACGCCCATTAACTACTTCCCTAACCAAGAAATAACCCTAAGTATGTCCATAAGATTTAATTTCTTGATTGCATTAAAAATCAGAAAAGCCCTATTCTAATTAACAAACACACTA